CAGCAGCTAGCTGCAGCAAACCAGCAGCTAGCTGCGCAGCTGCAGCAGGCCCAGCAGCAGCTGCTGCTGCTGCAGCAGCAGCACCAAGACAGAATGCAGGCCGTCCGAACGCCCGCGCAGCCCCAGCTAGCTAAACACACGGCTAGCTAGCTAGCTACAAAGAACAGCTAGCTAAACACACGGCTAGCTAGCTAGCTAGCTACAAGGAGCAGCTGGCTAAACACACGGCTAGCTAGCTAGCTAGCTACGAAGAACAGCCAGCTAAACACACGGCTAGCTAGCTAGCTACAAAGAGCAGCTGGCTAAACACACGGCTAGCTAGCTAGCTAGCTACAAAGAACAGCTAGCTAAAAACATGCAGCTAGCTAGCTACAAAGAACAGCTAGCTAAACACACGGCTAGCTAGCTAGCTAGCTACGAAGAACAGCTAGTTAAACGACACTTAGCTAGCTGGCTAGCTAAAATGAACAACTGGATAAACAACACCCAGCTAGCTAGCTGCTATGAAGAACAGCTAGCTACAGAAAACGCAGCTAGTGAGAAAACAGCAGCTAGCTAGCTACGGAGAGCAGCAGCTGGGCACAAGCAGCAACAGCTCGCAGCACCTGGCTACGAGGAGCAGCAGCTAGCTAACTAAGAGCAGCAGCAGCTAGCAGCAGCAGCAGCAGCAGCAGCTAGCAGCAGCTACTTGCGAGCAGCAGCAACTAGCAGCAGCTACCTAGGAGAAGCAGCAGCAGCGGCAGCTAGCCAGCATCAGCAGCAGCAGCAGCTAGCTGACAGCAGTAGCAGCAGATAGCTAGCTAGCAGCAGCAGCAGCAGCTAGCCAGCAGCAGCAGCAGCAGATAGCTAGCTAGCAGCAGCAGCAGATAGCTAGCTAGCAGCAGCAGCAGCAGCAGCAGCAAACTGAAGTGGTGGGGTTGTTGTGATTGTTCAGGAGACAAAAGAACACGAAAACAATTTGGCGGCGCTGCGGAGAAAATCGCAAAAAGTGAAAAGAGAAATTGAAAGACTTTTGCTCACCATTCAGCAAACTTAAAAGGAGACACTTTTAATAAAAAGGAGACACTTTAGATAAAACGGAGACACTTTTAATAAAAAGGAGACACTTTTAATAAAAAGGAGACACTTTTAATAAACAGGAGACACTTTAAATAAAACGGAGACACTTTTAATAAAAAGGACACTTTTAATAAAAAGGAGACACTTTTAATAAAAAGGACACTTTTAATAAAAAGGAGACACTTTTAATAAAAAGGAGACACATTTAATAAAAAGGAGACACTTTCACAAGGGAGACACTCTTAATAAAAAGGAGACAGTCTTGAAAAAAGGAGACACTTTTAGTAAAAAGGCGACACTTGTAATGGAAAAGGAGACACTTTTGTTGCGAAAGGAGACATTTTTAATAAAAGGAGACACTTTTGGTAAAAGGGGACACTTTTAATAAAATGGAGACACTTTCAATGCGAAAGGAGACAGTTTTAGAAAGGAGACAGCTTTGACAAAAGGAGACAGTTCTTGTTAAAAAGGAGACAGTTTTGATAAAGGGAGACACTTTTAATAAAAGGAGACACTTTTAATAAGAGCAGACACTTTTAAAAAGGAGAAAGTATTAATAAAAGGAGACACTTTTAATAAAAGGAGACACTTTTAATAAAAGGAGACACTTTCAATGAAAGGAGACACTTCCAATAAAAGGAGACACTTTTAATGAAGAGAGACAGTTTTGGATGAGACGGAGACACTTTTAAATAAAGGAGACACTTTTAATGAAAAGGAGGCACTTTTAATAAAAGGAGACAGTTTAGAAAAGGAGACAGTTTGGGGGAAAGGAGACACTTTTAATATGGAAGGAGACACTTTAGAAAAGGAGACAGTTTGTTAGAAAGGAGACACTTTGAAAAAGGAGACAGCTTTTAAAACGGAGACAGTTTTCGTTGGAAAAGAGACACTTTTAATAAAAGGAGACACTTCTAGTTAGAAGGAGACGCTTTTAGTAAAAGGAGACACTTTTATAAAAGGGAGACTGTTTTATTCAAATTGAATAAAACAAAAGGAGACACTTTTAATCCAAAGGAGACACTTTTATTTAAATCAAATAAAAGGAGACACTTCTACTTAAATGAAATAAAAGGAGACACTTTTATTCAAATGAAATCGGAGGAGACACTCTTAAACAAAAGAGATAGAAGGAGACACTTTAAACGAAAGCAATTAAAAGGAGATAAAAGGAGACAGCTTTAAGGTTGAATGGAGACACTTTTTAAACTGAAAGGAGACACTCTTTAGATTGAAAGGAGACAGTCTTTAAGTTGAAAAGAGACAATTTGGAGACAAAAGGGAGACAATTTGGAGACAAAGGGGAGACAATTTTGGGACAAAAAGGAGACAAACAGGAGACAAAATGGAAAGAATTTGGGGACAAAAAAAGGCAAAAAGGAGACAATTTTAGAAACAATTTGGAGACAATTTGGAGACAATTTGGAGACAATTTGGAGACAATTTGGAGACAAAAAGCAGACAAAAAAAAGAAACAAAAAAGAAACAAAAAAAAAGAGTTGAGGAGACACTTTACGAGAGTTTAATGGAGACACTTGGGGAGACAGAAAGACAAAAGGAGACAGCGCAGATAAACATAGGCTTGCAGCAAGGGCTAGCTAGCTACAGCTAGCTACAGCTAGCTACAGCTAGCTACAGCTAGCTACAGCTAGCTACAGCTAGCTACAGCTAGCTACAGTTAGCTACAGCTAGCTACAATTAGCCACAGCTAGCTACAGCTAGCCACGGCTAGCCACGGCTAGCTACAGTTGTCTCCTTTTGACTTTTTGCACGATTACACATTTGGAAATCTGTCTCCCTCTTCAAGTGCGCACTTGGAGACAGTTTGATGGGAGCTGCCCTCTGCAGTGTTGCTGCTGTTGCTGCTGCTGCTGCTGCTGCTGCTGCTGCTGCTGCTGAGCTACGGGGTCACTTCGTGTGACAAGTTGTAAGTACACCTGAAGTCGTATTTTCTCCTTCCTTTGCTGCATTTGTTTGCAAAAAAATAAAGTAAAAAATAAAATAAGTGAAATACAAATAAAATAAAAAGAAATGAAAATAAAATAAGATAAATAAAGGAATTAAATTCGAAAAGACTTTTCTGATTTGCACGCGCGGTTGCTGCAGGGGCTCCAGGTGTCTCGGGAGCTGCAGCAAAGCAGCAGCTGCAGAAGCAAGAAAACAAACAAATAAAGTTTAAATAAATAAAATAAATTAAAATAATTAAAATAATAATTAAATTAATTTGAATATTTAACAATTCCAAGGGAAATAAACACGCACACCCCAAGAGCAAGAGGGGTCGGCGGTCCGTTGCTGCCAGGTGTATGTACAGCTCAGATTTACCTGATCAGCAACTTTCGCCGTTTGAATGAATTTGAGGGAAATTGAATTAATTAAAAGGCAATTTAGCAATTAAATGAGTAATTAATTGACTTAATTAATTAAATTAATCAAAATAGTCAATTATTAAGCATATTCGAGTGAGGTGTGCATGCAGGCGCGCAGTGGTGAGACACCGGAGCGACCGGACGCCTGCTGCTGCTGCTGCTGCCGCTGCTGCTGCTGCTGCTGCTGCTGTGCAGCAGCAGCGGCAGCAGCAACAAAGGAAAAATGGTAGAAAATGGAAACTAAAGAGAAGTAAAAGGAGACAGTTAGGGAGACACTTAGGGTAAAGACAGTGGCAGCAGCAACAGCAGCAACAGCAGCAGCAGCAGCACCAGCAGCAGCACAGCAGCAGCAGCAGTCACAGCAGCAGCAGCAACAGCAAACAGAAATCGTAGGGAGCAAAGAAAACAAAAGAGACAGAGACACAGAGACAAAACAAGGGAGAGACAAAATAAAAAACAAAACAAAAGCAAAAGGAGACAAAAGGTTTAAAAGAATAAAAAGAGACAAAAAGAATAAAGTAATAAAAAGCAAAAGGAGACAAAAAGAAATAATAAGACAAAAGGAGATAAGGATTTTCAAAAGGAGACAAAAGAGGCAAAATGAAAAATAAAAGAAAAAAGAAATACTAGAGTGGAGGAGAGAGCAACGGAGAAAAGAAACAAAAAAGAAAAAGATATAAAACAATAAAGGTAAATTGAAAAAATAAAAATAAAAATAAAAATAAATAAATATAAAAGGAGACAGACAGAAGGAGACAGACAAAGGAGGAGACAGAAGAAAAAGAAGAGACAAAAGAGAGAGATTCGCCAGCAGCAACAGCAGCAGCAGCAGCAACAGCAGCAGCAGCAGCAGCTGCAGCAAAGGAGATAAATCAGAAGAGCGAAACAGACAAAAGGAGACACAAAAGGATTTTCTGTTTTGTCTCCGTCTTTTTTCTTTTTGATTAAGTAAAAGGTGACAATAAAAAAAGAAAAAGGGACAAAAGAGAAGCAGCAGCAAAACAAAGAGAAGTCCCCTCCACTATAGTGATCCAGAGCAGCAGCAGCAGCAGCAGCAGCAATAGTAATAGAGGCAAAAGCAGCAGCATCAGAAGCAGCAGCAGCAGCAGCAGCAGCAACAGCAACAAGAGCAGCAGCAGCAGCGAAAGGGGCTGTAAAGAAGCAACGGAGACACAATAAACAAAAACTTAGAAGAGACCAGCAGCAGCAGCAGCAGCAAAGGGGACAACCAGCAGCAGCAAAAGAGACAAACAGCAGCAGCAGAAGGGACAAACAGCAGCAGCAAAAGGGACAAACAGCAGCGGCAAAAAGAGACAAACAGCAGCAGCAAAAAGGACAAACAGCAGCAGCAAAAGGGACAGAGAGCAGCAGCAAAAGAGACAAACCGCTGCGGCAAAAAGAGACAAACAGCAGCAGCAAAAAGGACAAACAGCAGCAGCAAAAGGGACAAAGAGCAGCAGCAAAAGGGACAAACAGCAGCAGCAAGAGGAACAAACGGCAGCAGCAAAAGGGACAAACAGCAGCAGCAAAAGGGACAAACAGCAGCAGCAAAAGGAGACAAGAAGCGGCCCCATGGCAGAAGAGACAAGCGGGGTGGGCCTAGCCCGCTTCTGGGCCTTTTGTCCTGCCCTTGATTTAATCAGCTTGCTGCAGCAGCAGCAGCAGCAGCAGCAGCAGCAGCCGCAAGAGCAGCAGCAGGAGCAGCAGCAGAGCCTTGTTCAGCAGCAGCAGCAGCAGGACGAACAGAAACAAGGGCAACAACAGGAGCAGCAGCAGCAGGAGAAGCAGCAGGAACAGCAGCAAGAGCAGCAGCAGCAGCAGCAGCAGCAACTGGAGTCGGAGAGACTGCAGCAAGCGGATGGAGGCCAGGAGCCGGCGCACCAGCCGCTGCAGCAGCAGCAGCAGGATGGCGCAGCAGCAGCAAAAGCATCCGAAGGTGAAACAAACGAGGGATTTATTTCCGATTAAACATTTATCTAAAAATAAAAAAATTATTATTTCAAGGAGACACAAAAAGATATATTTGCTGCTGCAGTTCCTTCTTTATTAGCCAATGCTGCTGCGCTGCCTCTCGCTGCTTTCTCGTTGCTGCTGTTGCTGCTGCTGAATCTTCTGCTGCTCCAGCTGCTGCCGTTACTGCCACTGGTGTTGCTGCAGCGGCTGCTGCTGCTGCTGCTGCTGCTGTTACTGCTGCTGCTGTTACTGCGGCTGCTGCTGCTGCTGCTTCTTCTACTGCTGCTACTGGTGGCACTCCTGCTGCTGCTGCTGTTGCCGTTGCTGCCACTGTTACTGCAGCTGCTGCTCGTGCTGCTGCTGCTGTTGCTGCTGCTGGTGCTGAGATTGTTTTTACGATTTGAAGTATTTGTAATTAGCAATAATAATAATTGTAAATCTTCTTTCTAAATAATTATAATTATCACAATAAAAAAGATTATTTTTATGTTTTTTATTATATTTATTTTTTATTTAAAACTGCAGCAGCACTTTTATTACTTTTCTTTGCTTTGCTTTTTAATGCTTTTTTGTTTTTTAAGTCATTGCTTGTTTGTTTTTTCATTTTTAAATATTTTACTTTTATTCTTTTAATTTTATTTTTAAATTTTGTTTTTTAATTTTATTTTTAATTTTATTTAATTTTATTTTTAAATTAATTTATTTTCAGATTTGCTGACGGTGCTGCTGCTGGGCGTCTCGGATGTACACCATATTTTGAAGACGACGCAGCAAAGGGCAGCAGCAGCAGCAGCAGCAGCAGCAGGTGGCGCTGCTGCTGCTGCTGCTGCAGCTAAAGGCGGCGCGCAGCAACAGGCGAGAGGAGAGCCTAAAGTGAGGAAAACAAAGAGACAAAACGACACAAACACAGACAGTTTAGCAGCAGCAGCAGCAGCAGCAGCAGCAAAAGAGATGCAGCAGCAGCAGCAAGAGAGAAGCAGCAGCAGCAGCTGAAACAGCAAACACAGAAATAAAAGAAGACACTCGAACAGCAGCAGCAAAGGAAAGACAGCAGAAGAGAGACAGATGTCTCTCTTTTATTTTGTCTCCAATTTCTTTTTTGTCTTTTGTCTCTTTTTCTTTTATTTTCTTTTTTTATTTTATTTTTTAATTTTTTTAATTTTCTTTTTTTAATTTTAAACCCCACAGGTGCGGTTTGTGGTGTCTGAGGAGACACCTGAAGCAGCTGCTCGTTTGCTGCTGCTGCTGCACATTCTTACAGACGAAACATTGCCTCTTAGAGGTCAGCTGCTGCTGCTGCTGCTGCTGCTGCTGTTGGTGATACTGGAGTTGCCGCTGCTGCTGTTGTTGTTGTTGCTGCTGCCTGGTCGGCATTGCCGCTTGCTGCTGCCGCTGCTGCTGCTGCTGCCTCTTCGGCACTGCCAGTTGCTGCTGCTGCTGCTGCTGCTACTGCTGCCGCTTAGGCATGCTGCTTGCTGCTGCTGCTGCTGCTGCTGCTGCTGCTGCTGCAGAGCGTGCTGCGGTGTACATGGAGGTTTACGGCAACGCGTTTGTGAGGGAGCAAACTGCGGTGTACATACACCGCAGCTCGCGGCGACTGGAAGAGTTCGTTTTTTGAATTTTATTTTAGTTTTAAATTTAAATAAATTAAATTAATTAATTTTGAAATTTGCTCTAAATTAATTACTCAATTTAATTTACTAATTTAAATAAATTAAATTAATTGTTTTTAAAGTTTGTAGGAGCAGCTGCTTCCCGGCAGCTGCTGCGTCAGGCCGAAATATCTAGGGTGTAGGGTTTAGGGTTTAGGGCTTAGGGTTTAGCATTGAGGGTTTGATAATTTAGGGTTTATGAAGTAGGATTTGGGTTAAGAGACTAGCGTTCAAGCCCTAGGGTTTAGGGTTTAGGGTTTAGGGTTTAGGGTTTAGAGTTTTCGTCCTTTCATCTTTGACTGTGTGGAGCCTTTCAAACCCCCTTAAGTAGAACTTGTTAACAAAGAGATGACGCCTGAGGGTTTAGGGTTTAGGGTTTAGGGTTTAGGGTTTAGGGTTTTTGTCTTTTCAGTTTTATCTGCGGAGAGTCCCTGCCTGGCCTGGACGGTCTTGTTGATTTATCCCTTTTGAAGTTTCGCGACAGAGACAAACTCTTAAGTCGGTGCTTGCTGCTGCTGCTGCTGCTGCTGCTGCTGCTGCTGCTGCTGCTGCTGCTGCTGCTGCTGCTGCTGCTGCTGCTGCTGCTGCTGCTGCTGCTGCTGCTGCTGCTGCTGCTGCTGCTGCTGCTGCTGCTGCTGCTGCTGCTGCTGCTGCTGCTGCTGCTGCTGCTGCTGCTGCTGCTGCTGCTGCTGCTGCTGCTGCTGCTGCTGCTGCTGCTGCTGCTGCTGCTGCTGCTGCTGCTGCTGCTGCTGCTGCTGCTGCTGCTGCTGCTGCTGCTGCTGCTGCTGCTGCTGCTGCTGCTGCTGCTGCTGCTGCTGCTGCTGCTGCTGCTGCTGCTGCTGCTGCTGCTGCTGCTGCTGCTGCTGCTGCTGCTGCTGCTGCTGCTGCTGCTGCTGCTGCTGCTGCTGCTGTTGCTGCTGCTGCTTCTGCGTTTGCTGCGCCTCTAATATATATTTATATTGTCTATTTTTTGTGTATATGCATTTAGATATATAGGAGAATAAGAAATGTTTACTTATAAGTGTAACTAAAATATATTTTTTTATTTTTTATTTTTGATTAGCCAGTTATGAGTATAAATAAAAGAAAATACATATTTATAGAAGCAATAAGAATATATTAAAGAGTAAATGAAGCAAACATAAAAAGACATAAATAATAATAAATATATTTAAATATAAATATATATATTCGAATATGCAAACAAACAAAAGATAAGAAAATAAACAAACAAATAATATGAAACGTTTAATTTAAACTATTTATTTCTCCCAAATACAAATCTCCATAAATACTCAATTGCATTTCTGCACAACAAACGCCAATACACCTATCCTCGCCGCCCCCCTGCTGCTGCTGCTGCTGCTGCTGCTGCTGCTGCTGCTGCTGCTGCTGCTGCTGCGTTAGCCGTGTTTCGCTGCTGGCGGCGCCACGTGGCCTTCGACTCCGCGGGCCACCGCGATTTGCGACTGAGACATTTTTATAAGGAAAGGTTTGACTACAGGGCCAACCTCATGGACTGGAACTTCCACCACCACCTCAGGCCCTTCGTCAGCTGCTGCTGCTGCTGCTGCTGCTGCTGCTGCTGCTGCTGCTGCTGCTGCTGTTGCTGTTGCTGGTGCCGTTGCTGTTGCTGTTGCCGTCGCTGTTGCTGTTGGTGCTGCTAGTGCTGTTGCTGTTGCTGTTGGTGCTGCTGGTGCTGTTGCTGTTGTTGTTGTTATTGGTGTTGCTTTTGCTGCTGCTGCTGGTGTTGCTGTTGGTGCTGCTGCTGCCGCTGCTACTGTGGTTGCTGTTGTTGTTGTTGCTGCTGCTGCTGCTGCTCGTGTTGCTGT